TCTGCACAAAACAAATTAAACACCATGAAACACCAAATGGATCTGCCTGGTGTGCAAAAGTGCAAGTTCAAATGGAGAAAACATCGCTAAACCACCAGTTCAAGATCCAAAATCATGAAAGCAAAGGAAATAACAAAAGCTGCCGCCACCGCCACCGCCACCAACAATCACAACCACCATGCTCTTAAGATGCCGCCTCATCTGCGATGTTCCGAAGAACTTCAATCATGTGGGGGCTTTCCTCTGCCTCTCTGCTCGACGCCTAGAGTTGAAGGATTTGAGTTGAGCCATGCATAAAAGCAGTCTTTCAAGTCCATGTTCGTTTACCGGGCGCAAAACAACCTTGCAGTGGGCCGGCCAAGACTCAGTTTCCACCAATTATCCCAGCAAGAGACCCCAAGCAGTGGCAATCAAAAAAGCCGGGGTGAGCAAGCGAACTTCCGCACTTTGGAGCACATACACGAGAGCACAAGAGTGCACACGCGAAAGTCCAGGTATGGGAGCACCCGTATGGCATTAAAAATACATGAGGCACACATGGAAGAGCACACCTCTAAGTACACAGATGTGAGAGCACTGGTATGGTATGAGTGAGCACACATATGAGAGCGCACAACAAAAGCACAGGTATGAAAGACTAGAGCACACACACAAAGCACACATATGAGCGCACACGTCCAAAGACAAGATTGAGATGCCAAAACAAACGAAGCTTTCGCGTGATACCTGTCCCAAATTCCAAGAACGAGCCGCATGTCACCTGTCCAAAGTCTACAGTTCGCTGCCGCTGCAGCTGCAGGGAACCAACGCCGACCAAAGACCGCACATCGAAGTAACAATCTCCTAAAAGTCAACTTCAGACCACCAAAACACGAGGAATCCCTTCCTTCTGCCACAAAAAGATACTACCAAGTCCGAAAATGTGCATGGCACCACAACAAGACCTCACTGTCGAGGAAAGCAGCTCCTGAGGCGGTAAGCTCAAGTGGCATGAATGCGTCGTCAATAGCAGCGAATTGGCCAGACACGCCAGTCAGCACCCTTGATCAAACCCAGCCTTAACCACTACCGTAAGAACCACATTGTTTGGGGGATAAAAAGAATCCGTGCGCCGGGTCCTGCTAATTCAGAGTGACACACCCCATTTTCGAGATCTCCAAGCTCCAAACCTCAGCTGGTTGACGAGGTGAGTCTTCCCCTCTCCCCTGGCACGTGGCACCGTCACCTCTGTCCGTTTGGACAAAGAAGTGTCGTGTCCGCATTGTCCGCCCTCTTCAATTGCCATCTTCATTGCGGCGAGTGTGAACAAATCTGTTTGCGAGTTGTTGAGGCCGGTTTGGTCCTCCGAGATCAAAGATTTGGTGAGAAAGCCCTGCTGTGCGTCGTGAAGAACACTCTTGTGGATGGATCAGTCATGGCTCCATTCGCAGCCTTTTTTTGCAACGCTCTGGACATCTGGTGGTTCAGCACAAACTGAGAATGCATCCACGATGAACTCGGACCTGCTCCACATCGCTCGAAACGAATCGCTCCAATCCAAACCATAACAGGAGGGTGCTCCAACATCTGAGGCCTCGAGGAATCCCTCTTTTCAGCATCTGACGCCTCAAATACATTATGCTCTTCTACGGCAAACACATTTCCCTCTTCACCAAGTCGATGGCTAGGCACGCTTGACATATGTTCCAAGCAATGCGACAACGCGAATTATAGAGGGAGTTCCAAAACACAATCACGAAAGGTGTGCGATTCTGAGCCAGGTCTGGCCCTGTAAAAAGATACCTATCTAGGGAAGGCAAACATGTGTGCGCCCTAGGGCCTTCTTGAAACATCACACAAAAAGCATAGTACTGCTGTTCCAATAGATTCTTGGTGATTGAGATTGTCGGATTTCCTCATCAGAAGGGAGGGAAGGCGGTGGCTCGTCATTTCCTTCGATTTCATTATATACTGCCATTGGCAAGCGTGCTTCAGCACGCGCATGAAAGAACATTGCCTCGGGATGCTGGATGATGCTGGATGCTGTGACAGTGCTGTCTCTAACTCTTCGTATCGACTTCTTCCACTTCCCAAGTGTTGAGCATCTTCCGTGCCGCTATAATGCAAACTAGTAGCAATGGCCTCCAACCTAATAGCGATGACCTCCAACCTAATAGCGATGCCTCCAACCTGATAGAGATGGCCTCCAACCTAATAGCAATGGCCTCCAACCTAATAGCGACTATATTGGACTAAACTATATTTTAGTTGAGGCCGAGCTCTTTCTGCATGTTTTCGTTGCGAAAGAGCATGTCGGTGGCGCTCGAAAATGAAGTCTTTGAACATCCTTGCTCTCCGCCAAGCTTCAAGAGGAGTGGTAAAAATCGATGCTGGTGGAAGCTTCGTTGCAAAGATAACACATGAGCACATAGAAAAACTGCACGCAAAAGCTGCAGCATGCCGTTCATAGCCCAATAGCCCAAGAGATCCCAAGAGTATGTTAATACCTAGTTGTCACAGTTCGAACTCCTTCGTTGCTAAAGCGAGTCCTTGCAATGGTAGGTTGTTCAATTCGAGTGTCACGCAGAGTTTCCGCTTGAACATGTTTGAGCCAATCCAAAACATAACAGCCCCCTGCTGCATCAAGAACATATTGGCACCAACACCTGAGAAACACTGTTCAAACAAATTTCCCGGCACAAGTGAAACCAACCCCAACTACCGCCTGCAGCTCAAGGAAAAGTCGATGAAGGCCACTAGCTTGTGAGCGCTAGGCAACCTCAGCTCTGAAAACACATGCAAAACTTAGAACTTAGCTTAGAAGTGTCGTGAAACAGTTTGCTTGATAGATCAACCCGACTGGGAACTGGATATACGCCAATTCTCATTGTCCAGCAGCAATCTGACAAATATCACCTTGATCCAAAAAACCACAGAAGGGAAGAACACATTGTTCGGCGGTTGCACTCTCAGTACTATACAAGTTCTTGTGTATTAGAACGGAATGAGCAAGCGTGATCTGTCGGGAACAGGTTGCACAGGTTATGAGTACAAATCCGCATCAGCTGGAGCACCTCCCCATCAGCTGGACGCTGGGTTCCAGAGCTTCAAGACTTTCGCGGGAGCAGGGGCTGGTCGTGCGGCTCAGTTTCGAAGCCAACTGGAATTCCTAGCCGAACAAATCAATTCAGAATCAGAAAGGATCTGAGACGAAGGCTCTCCTCCTTTGGCATCTGCCTCAAGATTCTTTGCCGATTTACAACTTGTTGTACTACTACTTGTCTGGCACTGAGTCCTGCAGGACTAGAAGAGACGGCAAAGTCCCAAGACCAAAGGGCGCCCGCATCTCTTCTGGAGCATTTGCTTTGAGCGCCTCCAGCTGATGGGATTACACTGACTTGCGCACAAGGTATCCAGCAAGATCTAACGGTTCCAAAGACATGCCGCATGCCCATACTTACAATCCCTCTGGATTCATGGCAAAATGATGTAGTGAAAAAACTCCTTGAAGAAGTCAGGAATTTGAAGGGGCTCTGCAGAATCTGCTGGCTCCATCGGGATGCCTCAAATCCTTGACAACCTGGATCTTGAAGCGAATACTTGAAGCTTGCTTTGGATCATGGGTTTCGAAGTTTCTACGTGCTGAAACACACTTCTCCGCTTGATTCAGGTCGATCTTCGAATGTAGAGTTTCTCTCAGGCTTCTCAGCTTAGGCACGACCAGCAGCGTCCGGAAAGCACTTGGACGTAGAGATCGCTGGAGCCGATCGCATAGATGAGTGCTCTGGGGGAGTAACTGCAGCAGCCTGCGTCTGCACAGGAAACACTCGTCTCCAGAAACTGGTGCATTCGGGCGGTGTAGCATCTCTTTTCGCACTCAAAGCTCTGAAGAGTCCTCCCTTTCTATTCGCGCAGAAACTGAGTTTAAATGGTTTTAACATGTTTTTACACATTTTTACACGCCGGGGCCAGGGTAACATGTTTTCCAGGAGGCACTTCACAGATCTTCACAGTGGAGAAGAAAACTGAGCAATATGAGCCATTGACCCTCCGAATACCATTTTGGCACACATTGCACAGGTTGATTATATAATCAAGCTCCAACGTAGTTGGGGGTTCCACATGTCTCAAGTGTTTCTACCACGTCGATTTCCTTCCGTGTTTGGATCTCTGCGGATGTGACAGAGGACCGTCACTGCGGAATTTTCAGTTGGTGATAAAGCCTCAGGAAAACACAAAACTGCGACAGCTGCTACCCCCAGCCTCCAACACGCAGCTTCCAATGCCGCAGGGTCTGGGCTCATGCTTCCCCCGAAGGCACCGCCTGGGCCCAACCGCGCCAGTGCAAGTGCAGAGCGCCCCCCGGACGTAGGAAACAGAAACGCCCCCCCACAGGGCATGACAAGCCTCCGACTATAGCACCTGAGCTGGGGATGCCAAAAAGGCTTCAATATATACTCAAACAAAAACTAAATAGATGTAAATAGTTTCCTTAGAGCAAATTGCTGATGCAAATGATGCACTAACCATTCACCGTGCATCTTCTGCATCACCAACCAACCCAAAATCACCTCCTTGGCAAAGTAAAAATATCAGCAGCCTGATGTTGTTTACATCCACTTTACCTGGCCTCCCCCCAGACCCCCTAAAGACTCACTTCGTATCTAGATACTTCTAGCCTATCGGCTGGCTTTCGTGATATCAAATGCCATCCCCAAGCACTGCATGGACGGGCATGGCTGAGATTGACATGTTCCTTAGCCATAAGGTGAGCCTAAGGGCAACGCTGCTTGAAGTTCTTCATTGAGATCTCGTAATTAAGGCGCCAAAACTTCAAAAGGACCCAACATGCATGCAGGCCATGACAGCCACAGATCTGACACGTCTTGAAAACAATCATGCATCTAGCAGTATCATCTAGTCATCTATCTTACCACGCAAAAAAATAAAGGTCCACTTCAATGACGTCCTCAGATGTAAGACTTGAGGCCTCGAGGGTCAACGAAAGCTAAGGGAGGGGTTTAGTGAAAGATCACTGTGTTGGCCTCGGGCGAAAGCGGATGCACAGGAACTGTGTAAATGCGGGCTGGCTCATTGCCAAAGATGTTTGTGTGTTTTACTCCGAAAAGGGCTATATACTATACATAATATATATACAGTAATGTTGCCAGCAATTGTAAGTGTCAAATTTCGCAAGTCAAGGCGGTTCAGTTTCTTATGTGTCCTGCTCTCTGCTTGTTTCTTTTCCTTTTTGTTTTATTTGTTATGAAGAAACCTAGCGCCAACCTAGCGCTGCCTTGCTGTATCACCGTATTCTGCTGGGGGCCCGCTTCTAAACGAATACTTAAAAACACATCTCCAACCTCAAAAGTTTACGTTCATCTATTTTTTTTGATTAGGCCTTTTTGAGCGCAATCCATATACAGTAATGTTGCCAGCAATTGTAAGTTCAATTTGTCAATAACATGTCTGTCTTTTACGCACAGATCTAGCTCACATTATTGCGACGTTTTTCAGGGCTTTGGAACCAAATAACCTGGTAGTGTCTAAAGTGCCAAGAAGGCCCACTAGTAGGACATAGTAGGATGATGCCACTGCTGTTTCGATCATTTTTCGGATCATGTTTCCAGGAGGGCCCATAGGGCCTGGCCAGCACCTCCAGACTGAAGGTGAACTTACAGAAAATGTATACCTGGTAAGGTAAAGAGGGATGTCAATGTGCCCCTGCACCCAAGATGGATAAACATCTTGTGGATTCAATTCTTGTAGAGATTTGCAAAAAAAAAACTGTTCATGAGGCATTGCCATGCATTGACTGTATGCTGGTAGGCCCGCTGGTTCGTCTATCTCTCCACCGTCCACCCCTTCAACGGCAAGCATCGACTGACCGAGAGGGACGGGAGCCGTTGCTCCACTGATTCACGAAGCACAGCATGGTGCATATCTACTCTAATCAAAACCCCTATCAAGCTGATTTTAATCAGCTACCCTTGCATTTCAGTTTTATGGCTGACCCCAATCAAATGATCACATTGATCAACCTTGCTTCTTGCAGGAGCTTTTCCCAGGCCAAGGAACGACAATTCTTTGCCTTTGAGAGAAGCCAGCCCAAAGAAAGGGTGCGGCTCACACGCGGCATCAACTGATTTACCGTCCTGCCAGGTGGGAGTGGAGTTCAAACAAACGAGTCTTTGGTGTCCACTCATCATTGTTGTAATGCCAAGTTCGAAATGATTTCTGGACACCGCACATGTTTGGGCAAACACTCTAAGCGTAGCTTCTCTCTTGGAAAGAGCACCGGCCGATCTTTCTGCTCACCTCTCACAAACGGGCAAAGAAGACGCAACCTCGAAGTGGTTGATGATTGTTTATGAGGCAGGCGTCTTGACTCTGATTTTCCACTGGACCCCGGGCATCCCTAGAACTTGAACCTTCCAAACAAATGTTTCAAGAATGATCATCCTCTGGACTCTGAACTCATGAACACCTCCTTGGAATCGCAGGGATGCCGTTCACGGCTCCTCAAATCGAAAATTCTGGAACTGGATCTGGTTGACAGGCTAGTTTGCCACCCAACAACCAAACCTCAGGTATATAGATTCATGATGTCTTGTTTCGAACGTGAAGAAATCCCCTCAACTCTTGAAAACTCCAACTCCCTGTCACCGGCCCGTCACCCAGTCCTGGGCCCACTCACCTTTAAGGAACGATTTTCGGAATCCACGTCCTGAACTGTCCAGCCCCACTGAGGCTCGCCATCAGCGCCTGCAGCGCCAGCGGGTCCAGGGCCTCCGCTGCACGGGCCTCGCCGAAGATCTGCAGCGCACAGCGCCAGGCCAGGGAGTCGGCGCCTCGGTGCAGGCGCTGCCGAGGTGCCGCGCGGCAGTTTCAGCGGTGTTCCCCCGGAAGAGGCCGAACAGTGCGATTTCTGGCTTAGACCGCACGTTAGTAACAAGAAGCTACTAGTAACAAGTGCATCGCTTCTAGTAACAGGTGCCTTACTAGTAGTAACAAGTGAATATTACAGTATACAAACACTGTCCCGGAGACTTTTGTACTAGTACGTTACATGGATCCCATCATTGCAGCATTTGAAGCGTGGGCTGAAGAGTTCTCCTGTGACCCTTCCTCTCGGCTCTTTGACCATGGGCGAAAAGTCTCCGAAGAGATCGTGAGGGTCTTTGAGGATGGATCTGCCGAGGTCGACAAGTATAATCATATACCGGAAGATTCAACAGAACCTCACGTCCAGCATTGCTGGGGATTGTATGCAATGTTCCGATGATAGCCCACGAGAACTGCAGAGTGCATTCCGCATCACAGGGTGAGGTGTGCTTGCGAGACAGTTGAAATTGCACCCAGCAGAAACGCTAGCAAGTCCTCCCGAGTGACACACCATACATACCCCCTAAACAACGCAGAATGACTCAAAAATAGAAAGTAAACATGAAAATTTCTGGCACACTCTGCCCCCCAAACACCCCAATTCTCGTTTCATTCGCTTGTGCGTTCATAGAGAGGCACATGAACTGAGTTGATGAACCGAGTTTGAGCATGTCAAGTTCCCAGCACGCCAAGTTCAACATGAGAGAATCTTACTTGGGGCCAGCGGGGGTGAAAGAAAACTAGCCACTGCTGGTCGCGTTTTGTTGTTCCGACGCATGAGCAGTGCAGTAATGAGCAGGGTGGCAGCCTACAAACAAGAAGTGATGGGTGCAGATAGGAACCATGAGGGCTTGCAAAGCAGCGTTGCTGGGATGAGATTTTGAAAGAAACCACGGGGGGATAGGAGCCTTGAGGGTTGAAAAGCAGGGTTGATGGGATGAGATGTTCATAGGAACCGTGGGCGCTGATAGGAACCATGAGGGTTGAAGAGGAACCATGGGGTTGATGGGAACCATGAGTTTCAACCATTCTCCACTGTTTGATGCAGCTGCTCAAGAGGAAAATGAGCATGAGAAGCCTCTGGTTGTGGGGTCCATGAGGGCTGGGTGGATGGCCATCAGGATTGAACACCACGAGATTTAGTTGGGTTTTGTTGTTCATGCATGTGATTCAACCATCGGGCTTTTAGTGGGAAACGATCGGAGCCATGGTCCAACATGGGGTTGCAATAGATCGGGCTCAAATAAGCAAATCAGAAGCAGGATCATTAGCTGAGATTGCATTGCTCATGATGAGTGGCATTGGAGGCATGGGCATTGGGCATGGTGATGGCATACTATGGGAAAGTGTTCATGAGGCAGCTTCACACTCAGCCAGTGAGATTGAAAGATGAGGGAGGTGGCCAAGTGCGAGATAGGTTGAGGCATTTGGTTCAAAGGCTGGTTGATTTGAGGGAATGGGTCTTGATGAGGTGGGGCGATGCGCCTCATCCCATGCACATGAGGAAGGTCAAGATGAGGGATGCCACAAGGGCTGGGTGCCATCAGGATCATGAGATCATGTGGGCTGGCATTTGCACATTGGCGTGCATTTAAGATGATGCTGGACAGTGAAGTTGAGAGGCATGAGCTCTTTTCCAGGAATGATGAGGGGAGAACAAATTTAAAGTGATGAGTGAGATCAAGGCCAACATCGATGCTGCCATGCAATGCAGGCTCTGTGGCCTCATGGTATGGCCAGACCTATCTCCAAAGACCATCACACCCAAGGAAACATCCGACGCCAACAGTGGGAGTTGATGCCGACCGGGGGGTCCATAACATTGAATAGTTCAATCTTTCGACGTCTTTGAGGCTAGCTTTCGTGAAAATGAAGAGCGAGCATTTGCAACTCCTTTTAGAACCCCACACTCCTTGGCCACTGCAAGCAAGCTTCACGCATGAAGGACAGCATTGTAAGCAAGGCTCCGCGGCTGAACAGAGTCTTGCTTCATCTTCTCCAGCATCTCAAGGCTCGTAGATAGATGGCTGGCAGTTGCGCAGCTGGAAACCTCAGTCGTGGAATTAAACCATATATATGTATATATAAATTGTACAAGCGAGAAGTGCAAACCAAGCAACCTCTATCTAGAACCTGTTCGATTTCTAGGCTGCTTTACTGTCCGAACTTACACCATCTCAAACTGAAAACCTATCTTGTACATGCAGCGGTAAAACCATCTGTGGCACTACCCACGGTGACACCTCTGCTTCCGGTTTCACGAAGATCTGCATCCAATGGACTTGGAGAAAAAACCTTTCTGATATGGGAGTCACATGCATGTCAATTATACTGCATGATGTGTATCTACTCAAAGATGCTTTATTGTTTTCCATCTACTTTATTGACCAGAAAGAACCCACTCAGAGATTAGACTCTTATCAAGTTGTCACGTTTTCTCATTTTTTCTGATTCCGCGGCAGAATCACATATTCTCTGATGGTTTCCTCACCACATCAACAACAGGTTCAAAGATAGTTTCTTCAAGTAAACTGTAGTTTCTTGATAATATGTGAATGTGCCTGTCCAACATCCTCTTTTCTGCCATCTGAAGGCTGAAGGCTGCAGAAAACTTGGCCTTGGGGATTCGGTCTGTCTGAGACACACCGTTGCCAAGCCCCTGGATGCTTGCACTATAGAGATCACTGGATATCTATAGGATCTTGATTGGTTTTGAAGGCTTCTTGGTTTTGTTTTGAACAGACCCCTTCAAATCACTTCAAATCCATGAGCCTCTCTTAGCCTCTGGATCTGGGCCGAAGCAGCAATAGCTGTGTAGGTCACCAGATCGGCTGTAATTCTTTGAAGAGTCATGGTGCCTCAGCCCAGCCACTTGGGTCTGGCTCAAAACTCGGGAACCCCCCCAAACCCACTGGTAAAACAGGAGTCAACCTGCGGGTGTCTGGGTCTTCACCCTTCTCTGCCACATCCAAGTCGAATCAAAATGCTGCATTGATCCATGGTTCCACGTCTAGGTGGCCCATGAGGTATCGAGCGTTGAACGACATCCGAACTCGGGGGGCACGAAGTATCAGCGAATGTGGGTTAATTTTATATAAAACCTTTTACAACACTGGATGTTGAATCTCTGAAGGCAGATTCACAGCTGCCGTTGTCCATTTCAGGAAGACGTGGAAGGCATCTTTGTTCGACACTCTGCGACCGCTGCGCAATAAACTCTCAGATCCAGTGAAATCATGTTCGACTGTCCCCGCTTGATTGTTATTTTAATGTTCTTTTAGTACTTCAGAATAAAAGTGTTGAACGTGTGCTTTCTCTGATCCGACTAATTCCTATTAAAGAAAGCAGTTGGATCAGAGACCCAGAACACCGCACCACACCACATCGTCTCCATGGAGGAACAAAGTCAGCGCGTGGACAGTGCCAAATAGACATCATCAAAATCAAAGTTTGGGATCTCTAGTCTGTCCATCCACAGCCCAAGAGACGCAAGATCTCCAGTGCTTGATCCCAGCGCTCGACTGCACTGAGCACTGCATTGAAGCTCACACGGCTGGGTTGTGGATGTTGAGATAGCAACACGAGGGCCACACGCCACTGCCGCGCCTACCGTGTCAAAGCAAGAACCCCATGCTTAAAACACGGCAAACGCTTGTATGTGGACAAGACGTGCCAATATCAAGATCCATGCCGATGCCCAGGCAACGTTGCTTTCAAGCACCGACGCTGAAAGAGTCTCGCTGTTGAGGCCAGCTCAGCCAGGACCCAAGTTCTGAGAAGATCGTTGCGAGCACTGTTGCAAACCAAGTAGGCAACTAGCGAGTGCATTTTTGGAAGAGAATGTAATTGCATTCGGAATTCTTCTAGAATGCTGAAACTTAGAATCTGGAACTGGAAGAACCACCGGGTGCAAATGCTCACATAAAATCTCTGAGAAAAACAAAATAGTACTGCAGTACAAACAATGCAAACACATTCAGTACAAACCGGCTCCTCAGGTTCCGAAAATGATCCCCATACCATGCCGGCATCCCGTGGGCCCAAACCACCAGCCGGTCGGCAGTGGGAACCGGTGCCTTTTCGCAGGCTGACAGGGCACTATTGTGTGCTGTGCCCAGGCCGCCTTGTAGGAAGTCCAGCAATTCCACAGCAGGCCTCACGATGTGATTTGGTGACAATTTTCTTCTGAGTTACTAAGAGCAATGGCCTCCAACCTAATGACGGGATGCACTGAAGTCAAAAGTTGCAAGCAATGACTTGTGGTTTAGGTGTAAACAGTGTAAACAGTACTTGGACGGGCTTGCTCGGAAGACATTCACCACTCATTCCAGAGAGCGGCAGCCAGTTTTAGGCTATCACGTTCGATTGAAGCACATGAGGTCAAGCAACAATGAGGGGAACTACACCCTGCCGTTTAAGTCACAGCCACTTGTTCATGGGGAACTCTGTCCAGCCGCTCTTCTAAAAAGTCTCCGCCAAAGCATCCGCCAAGGTAAACTGTAAATGCATCACTACATGACCAAAAACTCTTTCAACTAGTGCCATTTCCCTTGTGGAGAAATTGCGTGCCACATCGTCCCTGCATGGATTGGACATAAGACACTGCGGAAAACACGCCAAGTCACCATGGAACTCTGTAGCTCGGTGGCCCTGGAAATTTTATACGTCCCGAGCAACACCCCAAGTGCTTGCCCAATGGAACAGTGATGATCTTGCAGACTTTAAATATATTTTAATGAACTATGAGTGTCAGACTAGGCCCGAGAGCGTGGAAAAACAAGTACATTGTGAAGAACACCTTTTGAGAGACTTGCTGTGGAGAGGTGAATGGCAGGTGTGACTGGCACTCAGAGGAAATCAGTGGATCTTATTTGGCCACACGGTTTGCCACAGACTAGATATAACTGCACAACCATGATTCCATGATACAGCTATGTACACCAGCTTGTTGGGCGCTTATTTGCAAGCTAACCAGAGATCACCAGCTTGCCAAGGACAGACTTCATGGGTCAAACGAGGCCCCGAAGGAGGCCAGAAAGTCATCAGGGAAGGGAAAGCTAGGTATGCTCACAAAACTCGTTTGCCATGGCTACAGCAATGTGCCAGCTTGAGACCAAACTCTCACATCACAACATCCACAACTCACACTGATGCTCTGAAACCTGATTGGGCGACACCGCCTTTCCAGTTTAAGAGCCTCCGAACATCTCAACTAGAAGCGACACCTTCCCCCAAACTAGACGCTGGTGGCAGCGACTTATGGGGCATGCAATCCTGCATGTTACAACAATCACAAATAACCGGCTGCGACTTCAACAGTTGGGAGTAAAGCCCGAATAGAGAAAATGGCCACCACCGGTGGCCTCACTTGGTCTCCCACCTCCACTGCCAGCCCTTCTCACATGCTGAGATGGCAGCAGCAACAGCCACATCGTTCGAAGGAGAGATGAGCAAGGCTTGTTCCCACCTGTGAAAGGAAGGAGGCTTGTTTGGCCTGTGAGGTCAAAGACGAAGGCTTGTGTTGACCCACAAGTCTGACAGTTTTGAGCGTGCCTCTGCATGCAAACTCATTGTGCCTCTGCAAGTCTGATACTTATGAGTCTGAGCATGATACCTTGTAGCACATCTTGGACACAATAATCAATTGACACATATGAGCAGGGACCATCTCAAATAGCACCGTATCCTAACCTAAAATACACTATCTAAACCTCAAATACACTATCTAGCACTATCTATTTTGTGGGGGGCCTATCTCGTTTAGACTACTTTGGTCGGAGGGCATGTCACCGTATCTCGTTCAGACTATTTTAGTAGCAGATCCCTGTATCTCGTTCAGACTACTCTAGCGTCAAGAAAATAAGTATCTCATGTATGTGGGAGGCCTATCTCGTTTGGACAAAGACGTAGTGCATGCCGTAGACTACTTTAGTCAGGACCAAATAAAGGTGGTTGTTCATATATTGATACACGGTACACGGTCAGGAATGTCTGTCTATATTGAGTCCAGAGAGAGTTACTTTTTCCGCGAGGCAAACTCTCAGTTCTGGTCCAGTCCCCCATTTTAGCTCTCTCCAATTCAGCCCTTCAGCTGTTTAGGCACTATAAAGCGAAAAACGAAAACGCATGCTTCTCCCATTTTGTTGGATGCTTCAGTAAACCCCAGATTTTTCAACCCACCACATCCCACCCTGCCTGGCTACCTTTGCCAAAGCAGCCAGCAATGTGCTCTGGCTGCGATCGTCCACGCAGCTCCGGCGCCCGGCCATTTCGAGCAGGGCCACACAGCGGCGCCACTGAGAGCTTTCCTGGCCACACGAGCGAATTGGTCAGGTACTGTGGGTCATCTGAACTGAACTGGTTCAGATGCCCAGACGGTCATCCCAGGTGCCTCGAAATAGCAGACTTTACGGCACATACCCAACACGTCTTTGATGTTACGTGTTCCTCTTCTTGGAAGTCAAATTGCTCAAGTCAGGTATGGCAACGGCTCAAGAATCGTCATCGTCGATATCAAAACTAAACAAATATAGAGGGCACCCGTCCAAACAAATCCAAGTATGGTGTTCCCTCAATTATAGAAGAAATTGCAGCTATATATATATACATTATATTTATAACTATTTGACATGTATCCGCGGTGCCCGGCAAAAAACTCGAATAGAAGATAATAGATTTTATAGTTGTACCCACGAATAAAGCCAAATGTGTTCAACCAAATCATTTGGCCTGCTGTTCATTGTCGGCTTTCTTTTCAAAGTGTCCATGATACTGTTGGCAACGTGCGTGTTTCGTGTGATTCCTTTTTGCTTCATGAGTGGAGGGATCAACCATACAAGTATCTTGGCTGATGTTGAAATTTACACCGAGACTATCCAAGTCTCATCCCCAAACAATTGAACATTGAAAGAGTACATTCTTAGATCTGTGTATATATGCTTCCAAATGTGAGCAATGTACAGCAAATGTCACGATACGATGCAACGAACGATCGGACCCAGGCTGCCGCACAAGTTTCTTCTCACACTTGAGCCAAACGAAGTTTGTGTTTGACTTCCGTCTCTGATGTCTATACAGCAGTGCTTTCACTCAAGGTTACGTGTAACGGTATGGCATTGTTGCCACTGCTATTCCAGAATGCTATTGCAAACTGCAATGCAATGCTTACACACAGCATCAATTTCCAACGCTACCAAGCAAGGGGAAAAGCTGGTAGCCAATGATATCTCTCACATGTTACAAACCATGGTTCTAACCGAGGGTGGTTTTCTCCCCCCTCTGGAGCAAGGAACAAGTGTTCGGTGCTCAAGCTCAGACATCCCTCGGCTCAAGCTCCGTTCACGAGTCTTACGACATGGCATGTGAGACATTCTTCATCCATGGCTGACAGCAGCAACGCGCCTCAAAGTGCGCCCATCTGCCTTACCTCAGCTTCTGCATTCGGTGCCATTGTGTATGGCGGAATGCGTCTCGCCTTCTTTGTCTTTCGTTTCTTCTTGTACGAAGTGGTCGCCACGGTCGGGTTCGGAGAGGGCTCGAGGGCGTGGGGTTCCATGCTCGCGACCTTCAACCCAGTTTGTGTTGTTCTGACCACCTCATAGTCTGTTAGTTGCACTTGGATGTTGTACAAAGCTAACGGCCAATGTGGAGCCTCTAGCTGCTTGGTAAAGATGTCTGCCTTCTGCTCCTTTGTGCCTACGATCATCAACTCGACGTCTGGCCTGTCCAGCTGCTCTTTTATAGAGCTGAGGTTGACCTTGTGCGTCCTTTTCAGATGACGAAGTTTCTTCGAATACCCTGCGGCACAAACCTTGGCACATGCTTCATTATCCTCCCGAATGCGCAGCAAGACCTGGCGTTGAAAGATGGCCGAGAAGAGCTCCGCTAATGGGATTCCCTCCTCAAATAACACATATGCCAACGCTACCGTTTCCGCTTCGGTTGTGCTCCTTGATGTAGATGTTTGCTTCTTGCTGCACCAGGCAACTGGGAACGAAGTTGCCGGGCCGGACAGCTGCAGCCATCCTCCTGTGGTGCTCTTTGTGTCTTCTTCGTCTCCGCAGTAGTCTGCGTCGACGAACATTTCTACAAACAAATCATCCATGGAGTCTCGAACATGTCCTAGCAAGAGCGCCTCCTGAGTGCTATTCAAGTAGCAAATGGCCTTGTGCAAGTACACATCGCAAGCTAGCGTCCAAGCGTGCACGCGACTAGCCAACCAAGTAGTCACCTTCAAGACATCCGGCCTGGCCAGCCGTGCAATCCACATCAACCGCATGAGGATGCCACATGCGATGTCCGCCAACTCACCACGCACCTCATCGTCTGCTGAGGTCTTCGTGACAAAGGGACAAGTGGCCTCCTTCAACTTGGAACAACCGGTGGTCTTGCAGTATTCTTCTATGGTCGCCTGTGCGTATGCCCTCATGTCAAAAGCAAAGTACTCTTGGTTGTCAACCTTCACGATGGAGTGGTGTCTTCCTAGGAACCTACCAAGCGGTCCGACATCCTCAATCTGTACAAGCTCTGCCAAGTCTGCCCAGAAGCGGTCGTGTTGCCCACTAGGGCCCGACAACAACAGATCGTCGACGTAGACCACAAGCGCCAGACCACCATACGACGGGAAAGTGAACACGCTAGCGTACTCAGGGACAGCTATTGCGCCCATCAACTGCAGTTGTTTCTCCAAGTGAGCCTGCCAATGGCTGCCGGCCTCTGGATGACCGTACAACGACTTCTTCAGCAATATCACTGGTCTGCGAAAGCGGGGTTTGCCGGAAGCATAGTACCAGCTCTCTGGCCATAGTTCCTGAGGTAGCCTCACCCAAGTGCGACACAAGCTTTTCAAGTCCGACTGGAGATACGCCTTAATGGCGTCTGCCGATGTCGTGCAGTGGCCCTTGATCATCCCGAAAGAGATGATGGCGTTCGCAGCGACTATGCTTGCCGGACTTGCTGCTAGCGTCTGGTAGAATGCGGCACGACCGTCAGCTGCCGAGGACGACGACGAGGATGTAGTATGAGGGCCTGGTTCGGCCTTTGGCATAGGAGTGAGAGCCGGAGTGCGTGGAACTGGGTCTCCGGTAGCGGGCGTTGGGGGTGCGCCTGCCTCTCTTGGGAACAAGCCATCAAAACGCTCACGACATGCCTTGCTGTGGCGGTAGTGTCCGCCAGAACAACCGGAGCAACCTTTGGTAAAACCATGCTCAAGCAGTCTTGCATACGTGATGTAGGCGTGCCTTGGCGGTGTTGGGCGATCCTCAACTGGGAACGCATCAATCACCACATCATACGGAAGAACTCCGGATTCCAACGACTTGTTGTACTCAGCCTTCCGAAGCTCTGCGTCAGCGTCAGTCATGCTAAACAAAGCCTGCCGTGCTGCAACTGCCAGTGGGAACTGGATTTGCTCAAGGGGTGGAAAGAAAACCTCTTTCACATACATGTCACGTGGGCTCCAGTGAAGGTGTGCCCGATTCCTCACATTCTCATAGTCCAGAACCTGAACTACGTCTCTGTAGCGAAGTCCTGCATCAACACGCCAGCCAACAAACAAGCCAGGTTTCGTGGTCGGCTCTGCCATGCCGTCGCCCTTCGCCCGGTAAAACACAAGGGAACCGAGGGGGTACTTGGGACCAGGAAACTCACTGCCTGTTGCAACATGCCAACGCGACTTGCCCTGCTTGAGCGTCTCAACATCGGTGCCTTTCTCATAATCTCTAACCATGCATGGAGTCCAAAATGCGCGTGCCTTTGCAGCAAACACAACGGACAACGGCCAGAGCTTCTTGTGGAAACCAGCCTGCAAATGGGCCGGGCGACACAATTCTTTTATGGCCCGTATTTCACGCTCGGTGTGGGCATTGTGTGGCCATGACCTTGGGACGGAGGGAGCGATGTTCCAGCACAGCCTTGCCGCCGCCTTCGTTAACTCGGTGGCCGAATCAGATTTAAACACCACATTCGGATCACCGTTCAACCTGTGGCCACCGAAGTGTTTCAACGCCTCGAAGACCGTCTCTTCAGACCTATCCCTTCCGGGATACACAAGGCTCACGCCTGAAAACCTGTCTAACACCACTAAGGCTGTCTTTTCCCCTTCGTTTCCCTGAGATTCCTCGGATGGGAACATGTTGTCCGCTTCGATGAGATGGCCGAAACCAGTCGGCCGTTCATACACACGCTCTGCTTCTTCGGGTTCCTCACGATGTGACTTTGCATACCGCTTGAGCATCCGGCCTCGAATGCAGTGCTCGCAGAACGGGTTCTTCTTCTCATGAAGTGTCATGTGTTCAAGTGACGTGGCCTCTCTCTTTAGGCGTTCGTCTCGGGACTCAAGGGGCTCAAGCTCATGCTCTTCTGGGTCAGCAGGACACGCGAACGAATCAACAGATTCATAAACAACAGCCTCAAGCTCTGCGCCTTCAAGGGGCTCATTGGGGACGTGTTGAAAAAACATGTTCACATGACTGCATGACAGGCATCGCCGGCACATCCCGGTAGACTATCTCCGGAAACAAAGCAGAGAAAACCAATTCACACATGTAAATGGGGTAGATGGCCGTGGTAGGGGTGTTGGAACCAGCTATCTGGGCGTGCTCAAAACTATGGTCATGCCTACATCTCTTGTCAGCAAACGTGCGGGCCAACCGCTCGTTCGTGGTTGCAAGCCTCCACTTCTTCAAGAATGGGGTTTCGGCCTTGTCAACAAGACCTACAGCACATCCGTCAAAATTCACCACCATCATGTCAATCTCACGAATGAGTTTGCACAAGGCGTTCTGACGCCATCCGAGCGCGTGTCTTGGCCACTCAAAATGAACATCTCCGCCTCCTGCCTTGACATGCCTAGCAAGTTCTACAAACCTATTCAACAATTTCAAGGACAACTCACGCGACTTCGCCAACTTCTTGCGGTACTGTTCACCATAGCGGTGAGCATTCAAGTACTGCCACTGCGACCAAGGCGAACACGGAAGACTAGCCCAAAGGTCAATGCCAGGGTTCTCCTCGATGATGTCCTTCAACTTGTCAACCGTTTCGTCATGCTCCAAGTTGTTCTCCTCCTTGGTGCACCGGATGACTTCAATGCCCATCAAGTCTCCCACCTTGCCCAAGTTGGATGTGGGCTCTGTGCACAGCTCGATGAACTTTCCCCTGCCAGGCAAGCCTGCCTGAGCCCTCTGCTTCTCCTTGGAGTACTCGTTGTCAAAGACATCAATCTTCTCCTTGGAGACCGGCATGGCGTCAAACTGCTCCAGCTCCTTCTTGACCTCGACAGCAAGCGCTTCAAAGCGGCGCCCAGTGC